CCTAGACTAAGTTAAAAGGACCCCAAATGGGGCTGCAACCCAGATTTATGCTTTCTTTCACATCTTCTATAGAGCCTGCCCATCACTTTGGGCCTCCATTTGTCCCCATCTTCACCTCCCACTGCACCATCTTATCTCCAAGAGAGAAGGAGGAAGAATTAGAAGAAGAGGAAGAGGAGGAGGATTGATCTGCTGCTGGATTCTTTTATGTTCCTCTAAGGACTTTCTCACATGAGGCTGATAATGCTTAATTACAGCAGAATAAAAGCATAATAATAATAATAATAATAATAATAATAATAATAATAATAATAATGAAAAATAGGATTGGATTAGATAACTCTTAGGAGTCCCCTTCTATGATGGAGGAGTGGGCTGTCCATCTTCTGTGGTCCTCAAACAGAGGGCATTTACTGGGAGGGCTTTGTGTATGCATTTGACGAGTAGTTGGAGTAGATGGCCTTTGGGTCATCCTCTATATTTAATGCAACATACTGCTTTCAGTTACCCTCCATATTACAGGGAACATGCCGATTTGGAGGGTGGTGGGCTTCCTCCTTTGGAAGGAAGAGGTGTCGTGGGCATCTTTAAGGAGTGCTTTAGTGGTGTACACCTGCCTCACAGTAGGTTAGACTAGATGGCCCTTGGGATCCCCTTCCAACTTGAGTTGGTTATAGACTTCAGGATGGATGAGCATCTTTTGGGAATGCTTTAATGGTGCTGGATTAGATGACCTCTGGGTTACCCTCCATATTTAATGCAACATACTGTTTCAGAAAGTGGTAGACTCTTCTTCTTTAGGGGTCTTCAAGCAGAAATTGAGTTGGCATATTTTGGATGAGGCTTGAGTTGTGTATTAAAGTGATGAAAGCAGGATGGTAACAACAGCAACCGTTTGCTTAAATACCTCTTGAAGTCCTATCCATCATGAAGGCTTTAGGATTCAGTCTCAGCTGTTATCATGAAAAAGGCTCATTGTAGGATGGGAAACAATGACATACTGAAAGCCTTTTGTATCAAATGACTTTCAGGGCTATGGGTATCATATGGCACCTGTGAAACATCCATTGCATTTTGTATGGAAACCAGAGTCCTCTCTTGGGTAGAAGAGTGGCCTTTCTCTTTAGGGGGTGATTTCAGGGGATCCCAATGGGTGAGTGGGTTCTCTTGAACTCTCCTCCCTTCTGATTGGCCCACTCAGCTCCCTCCAGTCCTTGACAATGGCAGTCACAGCAACCCCCCCCCCCCAACGCATCACAATGCCTCCTGCATGCATTTAAGCCTTGGCCAACCCTGGCTTCATTGTAAAGGGAAAGGAGTGGTTGGGAAGGTGTGGGAGTGAGCAAGAAGTGAGAAGGACTTGCAGTTAGTTGTTGTTGCTATTATTATTATTATTATTATTATTATTATTATTATTATATAGTAGTTGCAGGTAGTTTATTATTATTACTTAGTAGTTGCAGTTAGTTATTATCAACCTCACAACCTCTGAGGATGCTTGCCATAGATGCAGGCGAAACGTCAGGAGAAATGCCTCTAGAACATGGCTCTACAGCCCAAAAAAACCCACAAGAACTTAATCATCATTATTGATGCTTAGAGAGGATTTGCAGGGGTTATTTTGCAGTTAATTGTTTTTATTATTATTATTAGTTGCAGTTAGTTATTATCATCATCATTATTGTTACTTAGGATTTGCAGGGTTTTTTGCATTTAGTTGTTTTTATTATTACCATTATTACTTAGTAGTTGCAGTTAGTTTTCATCATCATCATCGTTATTTAGAGAGGATTTGCAAGTTTTTTGCAGTTGTTTTTATTATTACTTAGTAGTTGCAGTTAGTTATTATCATAATAATCATTATTGTTACTTAGAGAGGATTTGCAGGGGTTATTTTACAGCTGATTGTTTTTGTTATTATTACTTATTAGTTGCAGTTAGTTATTATCATAATAATTATTGTTACTTAGAGAGGATTTGCAAGGTTTTTTGCAGTTTGTTTTTATTATTATTACTTAGTTGTTGCAGTTAGTCATTATTATTATCATTATTATTGTTACTTAGAGAGGATTTGCAGGTTTTTTTTTACTGCAGCCATCATCCTTTTCCAGCTGGAACAGAAATTAATACTTTGATGGCTTCTGCTTCAACTTGGTGAGATTTATTCTGGAATATTGGCTTCTCTTTTCTCACCAGTGGCTTGGATCTCATTATCCACAGCCATTCTAAATTGCTCGACAACAAGGCCAAAGAGTGGATGGAACTGCATCCATCCCAGTAGACTCTGGCACAAGCAAGCTGCTGCATCCTCTCCTCATTTATGCGTTTTCCTCATTAATAGCTTTTGCCACTTTGGCTGTACTCTGGTGTTGCCTGACCATGCATATCACATTATCATCTGTGATATGAGGGAGGGTACAACACTTGAAAGGTGTGGGGAATGAATGCAAATGATTGGGAGAAGCTTCCTTCATGTCGTATCAATGGGATGTATTTACCCCTTCTCTCCTGGAATGTCCAAAGACTGGTTGGGTTGCAGGAGAGTCTGCTTGGGGCCAGCACTTTGGACACTCCCTTGCGTGTCTTTGCCCAAGAGACAAACTTCATTGTGGTTTGTAAAAAATGTTTATTATTATACAGTAAACAGTGGTGATGGATCCGTGCCCCCTCCCGCAAGAGTGATGTCACAGCACTTCCAGTTGCTGCTCTCTCCCCAAAATCTTTGGTGCAAGTTAAAGGCAAACTGTCGTATTTGAATGCAGATTTGGGGTTAAATTGTCCCCAACCTTAACATTTTTTTCTACCAAAAGTTTTAGAGATTGTTGAGAAGTTTGGGTGACTTTACAAGTGGAGTTTGGTGGCTGCCTGAAAGCTCCCTTTCTCCCATTCCTATTCCCAGGAGGTCATCTTGGTAAATGTATTGTCGAAGGCCGGAATCACGGGGTTGTTGTGGTTGCTGTAAGGCCATGTTCCGGAAACATTCTCTTCTGATGTTTTGCCTGCATCTATGGCAGGCAT